AAAAACTGATAAAACATTTTAAAATCCTTAACAGGTTAATAACTGGTTAATTAACCATTTTTTTGCTTTTATTGATATCAGATGTTTTGAAGACGTATTAAAATGGACGTTGCATTTTTTGGAATTGATAGTTGGACTATCCTTTACAAATTTGGAAGGTTTGCTTTAAAGCCGACTACAAGATTCAGAATAGTGAAAAGGCCACCTATGAACGATCTAGAATAATCATACGCAATCATACTTGAGTAATATAGAGAAAATATCTTCCAAATAATTAAGTCTTCGATATTTCTTTTTATGACACAAATAATAAATTGAGATGGTTTCGCATAGAAGCACGATTGGAATGATAAATACCGTTAACCGCTAATCAATGAAATCTGAAACCCAAATAGTTTTCAAATATCTGACTTTTTATGAAAAATACTCCCCAACAAATAAAAATAAAATAAAAATAGAAATGATTTGCATAGCAAACATGATTGAATTGACAATACCGTTAACCGCTAATCAATGAAATCTTAAAGCCAAGTAAAAGAATCAAGTTTCAAATGGTTGAAAAAAAAATCTCATAAAATACATCATTGATTGCATTTTAAGAATATAGAATCTGCTCTACCCCTTAAATGTTTCATATTTATCCAAATTTATAAAACTCATTCATTATAAAATTTTAAACGACCAATGTGCGCTGGAACTTTGTTCTCATTAAAATTAGTTACGGTCCTCACCATAAATATAGTCAGAGTTGTTACACAATTATTTATACTGAAATTATGTTATTACAAAAATTTATAATTACAAGAATTCATGTTTCTCTATATTATACATTATTTACTATAGAAATATATTATAATATAAAACAAACAACCTAACAAAAGTTGTTTATTTCACAACTTTTTTATATAGGATCCGATTATCTACCAAAGTTTTATTAGGAAGAACTTGAATAATACCTATATATATTGGTTTGTAACTTTTAAAATCTATAAAACTAGATAAAACTTTGGTCTTTTTTTATAAAAAGTTTTAAGGATTTATGTAAACAAATTTAAATAATAAGATAGATAATCTTTTTATTATAAAACCTTCAAAGTCAGCATTGCAAAATCAATTTCTTAAAAAATTAATAATAACCAATCAGGATTTTATCTATTAATAAATGAAATAAAATTTGATTAAGCTAATAAAATATTAATCCTATTATAATAAATTAATATTGATTAATTTTGTAAATTATGATTGTATTATTTTAAAAACTTTGGATTTTACTGTATAAAATAAAGAATATCATATAACATTTAAAATAATAATAATATTACAAAAAAAATAAAAATTATAATTAGTATATTGTTATTTTACTACTATAGAATCAAAATTATCATAAGAATTGCTGGGTTTCAAATTCATTAAGAAATTAATATACAGTATATATAAAGAAATTAATATTAATTAGTTTATTGATTTAAATCTTAAAATTGTACAAAAAAATCTTTAATAGAAAACCCTGATATAATTGATCTAATAATTGAACAAGTTGCTAATACACTTAAAAAATAATATTTATTAAAATATTAAAAAATTCTTAAATATATAATACCAATATAGTTTACCCTTGGTATAGCAAATTTTGATATAATGAATCACATGATGCTTAATCAATTAAATATGTTGATTTTTCTCTTTATAATGAAGTAACTAATCAAACTTTCAAGGGTAAACTATATATTCAGAAAGAAAAATTAGATCTTACTATTTATTTTGAATTTCTAATAATGGTAAATATGAAGAAAAAAATCAAGCATATGATAATTATTATAAAATTATTAGATGATTTAACAAAATTTTAAATTAAATTTATCATTATATTACTATTTTATTTTCAAGAACTGAAAATTATTTAACTTTAAAAATTATGCAAATAAATTTATTAAAAAATTATAAGAATTAAATAATGCTAAAATAATTATTAAATATTTTTTGAAATTTTGAGTTGTTATTTAGTTCAGACTAAAAATCCCTTGCTATTTATTTAGTTTTAATATTATTAATCCAATTATTTCTATCTTTGATATATAATAAATAAGAATCAATATGAAAATAAGCAAATTAAATGAATAATTAATAAATTAATAAATACTTTAAATAAAAGTCTAACGGAATATCTAGATTGTTAATTACCTCTACTTTTTAATATAATTTTATTTAAAATTATATATCAAATAAACTTCATATTATGTTACAAATTACTGATTATTTATGAAAATTAATTACAAAAAATCAAAAATGAAAGATTATTTAATAATTTGTCTAGAGTGAAGTGAAGAACAATATATATCTATGTACTATGAAAATTTTCAGTTATGTAATTTACATTTTTCTATCTGTTCACGTGATTTTAAACTAATAAAACCTCTAATTTTGAAAAGTATCAAGATCGCCTCAGACTTAATAACGGTTCCTGTTTTTTAGATAATTTGAAATATTATAGTTAAAATTTGTGATCCTATTGATAATTGGAGTTATATTTTTTTAATAGAAGATAATAAACTTTATATATTTAGAAATTTTAACATGACAAATTATTTGATTTTAAATATGTTATATTAATAAAAAGTTTATAGAATAAATTTGTTAAATTATATGATTTTTTAGGAAAGAAAAGAATGGATCTACTGTACTTTCATTTAAAAGCAAAAGCATAATATAAATTATTTTTAAAGAAAATAGTAGTAAATTCTATAATTAATATTATTTTAGTATAGAATTCTATTGTTATTTAAATATAATACCTTATATTAATATTTTAGTCTCAAATATTTGAGAATTTATATTTTTGCATTAAAAATAGAGATTAAATAATTTTCATATAGTATTATAAAAACTAAGATTGTATTAGTTACTTTTTTAAGAAAACTCTTAAAAATAAATAAAAGTTTTTAGAATAAAATTCTATTATTCATAAAATTTTAGAATATATGAACTGATTTTTAAAGATAGATATTATAATTAAAAAATGTTACAATTGAGTTACAATCTATAAATATAATTAAATTTTCTTATGTCATAATTAAGTTGCAATTCAAAAATAATTATAGTAATCATCTTTATTCCTTTCATATCTTAAATTTAATATAATCATATTTTATAGTATATATTTACTTTTATATTTAGTTTATAATTAGATAAAATTATCTTAGCAAATATTTTATTATAATTATAATATATATAATTTTATTATAAGTAAAAAATTTTTCGCTAAATTTTAGTAATAAATTTAAATTTGTTTACTTAAAAATTCTTTTACATCTTTTTCAATTTTAATTTTTCACTTGATAGTTACTTTTTTAGAATTATACTTAGATTTACATTTTTTAATAATTATGCTTTTAACAGTATAAGCTATAATAATTAATAGATTATTTTTTAAATATTGAAATAAATCATTAAATAAAATAATATAGGTTTATTACTTTTCATTAAAAAATTTTTAACCTTATAATAGATTATTTAAAATTTTATTTAATACTTGATACTTAGAAATACCTTAAAAAATATATTTATAGATATTCTTATTATTATAATAATAAACATGTCTTTTAAAAATATCAAAAAATTGATATTTAATATAGGCTAGTAATATTAATTGATGACTTCATTTTTTAAATCTATTTGGAAGCTTGTGATAAATCAAATAAACTAAAATATTTTAAATTTTTTATTATTTATTTTTAACAAACTATCTAAATTATTACATATTTATTAATATCATGAAGATTTCTTAAAGTTTTTAATAAATAGAATAAAAAAATTTAAAGATATGAAATATTGTAAAAAAAAATAAAAAATAATTAATCAATTATAAGAAGTTAATTATATTTACAATTAATAATAATAATATATTATAAAATTTGAAATTGTGAAATATTAAATACCTTTTACTAATTTTCAACTATTTAAATTCATTAGTATTTAGTTATATTCATCAGTTTAATATGTATTTTCATAAGTTATTTTAAGTTATTTAAGATATATTTGTTAAATCAATTACAAAAATTATATGCTATTATTATTTGAATAATATAATATTAATTATAATTATTATGATTTGTAAATTAAATTTTAATCTAATTTTAATAATCGATCAGATATAAAAAAAATTTTTTTAGTAATTTTTTTCTTTTCTATTATAAATACTTATATAGATATAAACTAGCAAATGTTCTTTTAAAAAATATTTTACTTTTTAAGAAAAATAGAAATTAAAAATTTAATTATCTAAATTATATCAGTATTTACAATTTATTTTTAAAAAAAAATGCAATATAAAGATTTTATTATTGTATGACTATATTTCAATTTAATTATTAAAATACATATTATTTTAATTTTAGATTGCTGATTTTTTTCAAAAAAATTTATTATTTAAATATTTCAGTAATTTATTATACTTGTATAATTTAAAAAGTAAATTATCAATTTTAAACTAATAATAAACATAATATTTAACTGTTTTCAACCAGATTTTCTAATCAAAAGATCTTTTACTAATACTTGAATTAATTAAAATTTTAATATTAGGTAAGTAAAGCTGAATTTTCATAAAATCACTTGATTTTCCATTTTCACAAATGGTAAGAATACCGGTTAAACCTCTAAAGCCATAGATGATTTTCTGTGTTTCACAGAATTTCATAGGATATAGATGATAATTTTCAAAATTTTGGCCCGATTTATCATCGTAATGCTGGCTGATATTAAGTTTGACCAGAATTTGCGAATCGTAATGTTGGCTGACCTTGCATAATTCTGGCCAAATCACAGAATTTCACAGAATTAACTTTTATCACACGCAGAATCCGCAGACCTGACTAAAGCACGTCATACCTGCTTCTGAATATTTACTTAAAAGCACATATTGAAATGAAAAATATTTTGTTACTTAATCGGTTTCACTATTCTGTTCTACATTCTTCGAAAAAAAAAACCAATTTACAGAAATGCTCGTTTCAAAGCCACAAACCTCGTAAGAACAAGCGCCTAACACAACACCGAAACCAGCTGTTGAAGAAGTTGTAGTCCGTCAAGTAGAAGAAATAATCAAAAGAAATCTCCAGTTGAACACGTCTTGCTGAGACCCGACTCTTATGTTGGTTCCCTTGAAGCTTTAAAGATAAGAGGGTTTTTGATTCTGAAATGCAAAGGCTTGTTTACAGGTAATTTTTTTTGAAGTTTATAATGGGTTCAACACGTCTTACATAATATCTCAAGTACAGTATGTAATATATCATACCGTATATCTTTCTTCTCAGAGAAATTACCTACGTACCTGGACTATATAAAATAGGGATGAAATCTTAGTAAACGCTGCTGACAACAAGGTACGTTTATTATAAACGTCTATTAGTCACTTTAATCGTGTTGATTATTTAAATTTTTTTTTAATGTCAGGTTCGAGACGATAAAATGAACCTTATTAAAGTTGATATTGACGAAGAAGGAGGTCAAATTCCATCTTTAATAACGGAAAAGGAATCCCTATTGAAATGCACAAGGACGAAAAATTCTATGTACCTCAACTCATCTTTTCGCAGCTTTTTACATCTTTAAATTATGATGATAAGAAAAAGAAAGTTTCCGGTCGTAATGGTTTCGGTGCTAAATCAGCAAACATATAGTACTGAGTTCATTTTGGAAACAGTTTCAAAAGCAAAAAAATATCGCAAAACTTTCAGGAACAATATGATCGTAATCGAACAACCAATTCTCACTACTTGTTCCAAAAATGCTGGTGATTACAAGTGTGTCATCCTAGCCCGCTTTTCAAAAATTTAAGATGACTCGGTTTGATGATGACATAATTTCCCTCTTAAATGAGCGTGTATATGATTTGGCGGGTAGTTCAAGTGTTCTTGAATAATGAACGATTAAACGTCAATAATTTTAAAGATTACATTTGTATGTGAGTGATCGCGAAGACTTACAATCTTCATTAGTGTATGATAAATGTGGTGACCGATGGGAAATGGGGCCCTTCCTTCCACTGAGTCTCAATTCCATCATGTAAGTTTTTTTCTCTTGATCTTGCATTAAATGTTTATGCGAAAATTCGTATAATTCTAACATTATTTCGTTATTCTTCATTCAAAATAATAGATAAGTTTCGTAAATACATTATGTACTACGAAAGGAGGTGCCCACGTTAATTACATCGCAGATAAACTTGCTGAAAGAATCATGATAGCGGTCAAAAATAAGAATAAGAACGCAAAAGTAAAAAAGAATCACATCAAAAATCATATGTGGATATTCATAAACTGTTCGATTGAAAATCAATCCTTCGATTCTCAGACGAAAGAAAATCTTACATTAAAAGTCGCATCATTTGGATCTACATGTGATTCAAGTGACGCCTTCTTTAATAAACGTAAGTAATTGTACTATTAAAAGCATATCATATAACTTTGTTTTATACTTTAAAATATATATACACATGACCATTTGATTTTCTCCTTTATATTAGCTTTCAAATGTGATACCAGTTAATTATAAATTAAATAATGAATTAAAGAAGACAGACGGAAAAAAGAGCAAGAAGTAAGTAAATTGATTGTTGGGAGAGAGATTGATAAAAAAAAAATTTTTTCTTAATTAGATTTCGATATATTTTTCAATAGAATCACTGGTATTTTAAAAATTGGAAAATGCAGCGAACGCTGGAGGTAGAAATGCTAAGGACTGTAATCCTTACCGAAGGCTCTGCAAAACTTTGGCAGTTGCCGGGCTTTCCGAAGTTGGACGTGATGATTATGGAATTTTCTCACTCCGGGGAAAACTTTTAAACGTTCGTGAAGGTACACACTCCCAGATCATGAATAACTCGACGATTCAACATATAAAGCAAATCCTTGGACTAAAGCAAGGAAAGGAATATACATCAACAAGCGAATTACGATATGGGCATCTGATGATCATGACGGATCAAGATCACGATGGAAGCCATATAAAAGGATTGATAATCGATTTCTTCGATAATTTCTTTCCCTCCTTGTTAAAATTCTGGGTTTCTTATGGGAATTCATCACACCGATCGTAAAGGTATGAAACCATTTAATCACGCTAGTAAATAAAATAATTGAGAGATCCAATTATAATGCATCAAATTTATTAGTGTAGGAAGGGCGATAAAGAGGTATCATTCTTTTCCATGCCTGAATATGAAATTGGAAGAAAATGCCCCCTAATGCTAAAAATTGGAAGGTCAAATATTACAAGGTAATTTCTTTATAGATAATTTTTACAACGATTGACTTTACTAACTATATTGTTGTAATATTATTTTTTCTAGGGTTTTGGCACTTATAATACCAGGAAGCGAAAAAATTTTTAAAAGTCTAAAGCGTCATAAAAAACCTTTTAGAGCTATGAACGGGAGTTGATCGATTTGGCCTTTAACAAAAAGAAAGCTGATGATCGCAAGATATGGTTAAGTATTATGAAGTGTGTATAAATTTTTTTTTCTGTTTCATTGATTCCAATCAGAATGTACCCTCTTTAACGAAAATTCCACATTCCAAAAAATTTATATTCTTCCAGCCCGGCACCTACATGAATCATGATGAGGAAGAAATCACGATAAAGAATTTTATAAATAAAGAGTTGATCTTGTTCAGTCAAGCCGATAATGAACGTTCGATTCCAAATG